TTTCAATGCCTGCTGCCTTTCCTTTGTTGTCCAGGATTGCTTTTGGTATTCTAGGTCTCCTCTGTTTCCAGATGAATTTTAGGAATGCTTTCTCTAGAACTGTGAGGTACAATAATAGTATTTTAATAGGGATTGCATTGAATCTGTACAACAATTTTGAGAGTATGGCCATTTTCACAATGTTAGTTCTTCCTATCCATGAGCAAGGAATATCTTTCCATATTCTAAAATCCTTGTCAATCTCTTTTTTTCAGGGTACTGTAATTTTCACTCTATAGGTCTTTTACTTCCTTTGTTAGATTGATTCCTAAGTATTTCATTTTTTTAGAGGTTATTATGAAAGGTGTAGTTTTCCTAATTTCTCTCTCAATGGGTTTGTTGATGGAAGATAAAATGTTGTGAGCTGCATGTTTAGCTGGATTCCATATTTCTAGAATGAAGATCACTACAAGATAGGGGCTTAATCATTTAAGGCCTCCTAGGGGCCCACAGTACAGGAACGCTATTGATTTTTTAGTGTTAACTTTGTATCCAACTATGTTACTGAATTTGGTTAAATAAATGTATAAGCCTTTTTGTGGAGTTTTTGGGGTCTTCTATGTAGAGTATCATGTCATCTGTGAATAATGACAATTTCACTTTTTTCTTTCCTATCCTTATTCTTTTAATTTCTCTCTCTGGTCTAGTTGCTTTGGCTAATATTTCCAGAACTACACCGAATAGGAATGGTGACAATGGATACCCTTTTCTTGTTTCTGACTTTAAAGTGAAAGCTTTCAATTTTTGTCCATTTATTATGATGTTGGTTGTTAATTTGTCATAGATGGTTTTATCAGAGTAAGGTAAAGACCATCTACTCCTATTTTCTGTAGGATTTTTATCATGAATGAATGTTGGACTTTATCAGAAGCTTTTCTCCATAAATTGAGATGATCATGTGATTTTTGTCTTTGATTGTATTGATATGGTGTATTCCACTGATTGATTTGTGTATATTGAACCATCCCTGCATTCCTGGGAAGAATTGCTCTTGGTCATAATGTATAATCTTCTTGATGGTTTGCTGTATTCTGTTTGCTGGTATTTTATGAGAACTTTTGCATCTATGTTCGTTAGAGAACTTGGCCTGTAGTTCTCTTTTTGGTTGGGTATTTTTCTGGTTTAGGTATCAGGGTAATACTTGCTTTGAGGAATGAGTTGGGGGGATTCCTTCCCTTTCAATTTCATTAAAGAGTTTGAGAAGAATTAGTATTAAATCTCTTAATTTCTTGTAGAATTCAGCTGTGAGTCCATCAGGACCTGGGCTATTCTTTGTTGGTAAGTTTTTTTATTACATTTAAAATTTTGTTGGCTGATATTGAGTTATTCAGGATTTTTATATCTTCTTGTTCAGCTTTGGCAATTCATATGTATCCAGGAATCTGTCCATTTCCTCTGTGTTTTCCATCTTATGAGAGTAAA